CTAAATGTGTAAAATTAAGACATATTGGAAGCGTTCCAATAATTATCTGTGATGTCGTATCAGTTACTTATTCATATAGAGGCACATGTTAGGTTTCGATGTTGTCAATAGAACCAATCGATTGCTGAATCAGTTTAAGATCTAATAAACATTTACAAATATATCTAAGTATAAGATCAAGCCACATATTGGTCATTAAATATGTCATAACTTAAAAAAGTAAATACAAATAAATCATTGTTTATAAATTTCTATTGAATTTTTTTAATTGATAGAATTAATAGAAGGATGATTAATCGATGTAAGGAAAAATTCACCTAAGCTCATGAGTTTTATTTCAAAATAAATCTATTAAGAAATAATACTTTTGTATATGTTATGTGGTGAAAAGGCATTTTAGGTAGAACCAAACATTGTTTTGTGAGGGTAACTATTTATTTTCTCAAATTAATATTAAATTCAGTTATGATAATTATTATTTTCTCACAATATTTTTATCATTATTATAAAATAACTTATAATAAAGTATGAGGTGACACATTTTTCTACAACATATTGTTTTTTATGGGTTATCAAAAGTAACAACAAAAAAAACCTACATTTTTAATTTTCTTTGTATTGTAGTTTGAATTCTAATAGGGTTAAAATCCTCTTTTGTCTTTTATCATTATACTTGCATTCTACCTGTTAACGTTTTGAAATGAATTCTTTAGCAATATTTTCATATTATACCCTTATAATAACCCTTATTTCTGAAAGAGATTCCTGTAAAGTCTGGCATCAGTATTTTTTTTTGTTTTGTTTTTTTGTCTAATGACTCATCTTATTGCTTTGAGAATTATCTAAATAGTGTTTATAGACTTTATAGACTTACTTGATGCCCACTCTTAACATCGATTAGTCTTCCATGTATCGCTATTGCCTGAGTCGCCAACGTCTCATTCTTTTATCTATTAGTTTGTATTGTTTTTCAACTGTGTAAAAATTTAACAATTTTTTCAAAGTTTTGACATCAATGTATTTAATGAGCGATATAGTATTTTAAAAAACACTTGTATGTTTATAGTTACATGTGTAGCATTTTTTAACAAAACAATGTGGTTATTAAAAATTAATGTTCTAAAGGAATTTTTCATCCTTCTATTTGTCACGTTTATTTTAAAGACTGGTTAAACTCATATATGCCTATTCATTTTTTTGTTTCATTTGAGTTATGAAAATATATATTTAGTTTATTCATAAATAGTGGGTTTCAACAAAACAGTTTGGTTTTGTAGTCATGACCTGGCACAAAAATGTAGACAGGTTTGGGAGTTTGGGTGATCATGAAAATTACTTCAACTTTCAGGTTTAATAATAAATATCTCTTTTTTCCAAATTTTTTACAAGAAATTATTTTTTTGTCAAGTGATAACATAATAACAAATGTTTTTGAAGGAATATATAAGGAAACAAATTATTAAATTCTAAGAAATGTTATCGATAGCTAATCACTAACAGAATGAAAATTTTAAAAATATTGGCTCCATAGAAATATTAACTCCCACTATTTTTTAAATTGTTGCTTAGGTAGAATAACTTGATTTTTTTTCTTCTAAGAATGAATATCTAGTGGCAAGTTTTAAAAATATTAAAAATTGCATTTTCTATAACTTTTAGGGATATTAGATTCTTTTCTTATCTCCAGTTTTATTTTTAGATTTTTATTTTGGGGCATTATGATGAAGTCATGTTGGAAGAGTGAGTATTGTTAGTATGTGTTCCTCGTCGTAACTTAATAAATCTACCTCTTTGTTAGACTCAAAACTAATTTATCTACAGACAACTAATGACAATTCAAATCATTTGTAATAAGTCCCTTCATACATCTTTTTAATAAGTTGTAGATGGATGCGTGGTTTGAATAATTGCACTGAGTTACATTTGCAAAAAAAATAAATATATATATATATATATATATAATATACTTAATAGATTAATCTAATATCATTAAATTAAAATTGAAAAGAAAATTATGTATAAAATTTAACTTTTTTTTTTCTGCAAATTACTCTAGAAGTCAAAAATTAATGATGTAATTATGCAACTAAACAACTTTATACTGAAAAGGAATCAAGGGATAAGTACAGTGGAAATTTTTAAAATCCCACTTCAAGTCACTCGAATAATGAACAGTAGGCATTCTCAAGATTTAGAGAGAGAGAAAGAGACTCTCCGTAGTAAACATTGCCAGTGGTGCGATTACATATGCATAAATGGATTAATATCATGGGCACTTGAAGTTAAACGTTTATGGACAGTTGTTCAAAGAAGATGACCATTATTTAAACTTTTTTTTTTATTTTTCATTTCAATAATGGCCTTGTGTGGGGTGCTCAGTGCTGTATAACTAGCCTTCATTTCAAGAGCATAACTAGCAGTTGAACCTTTCCTCACAGTTGCAGAAAATGAATTTAAGAAGAGATTATGGTGCTGTACTCTGGGATACATTAACGTCGTCAGCCAGGAAAATTTAAGTGTTCAATATCTTAGAAACTATAAGTCATTAAGACATCTGACAACCTAGAATTTGGAGCTTGTTTGACACACTCTGATCTAATAGGGAATACGTTTATTTGGGAAGGGGATATTTACCGAAACCATAAGATTATCCAATAAACGCTTATTAACTTTATTTTTATTACAATATACATTGATTGAATTATTAACAGTTGATTGTTAATGAGCCATCAGTTGGTTAGTGTAATATGATTAATGGGAGTATTTGGTTTGGTTCAAAAAGTCCATCCAGGCCGAGCAGTCTAGTGCCTGAACTTGCTACCTATTCAGGTTCACTTAAATTTTAAAAAACCCTAGGCGGTCAGTCCGAGTAAGCGCCCTGTTTAAACAAGCAGTTCGTAAGCCATTCGATTCTTTTTTCGAATTCGCAAGGGTACCGTATCAGTCAGCCATAGTCAAATAAGGGATGAAATCAGGAGTTCCGATCACCGCCCAGAATAGGTGGCGCGTGAATCCCTTCCCCAGAAATTGTATTGCTCTTCTCTTCTTCAAGAACAATTTTTGAGATGGCCTGTAATTTCAAGCCTTGAAAACTAACCGATGCCCAAGGGTCTGAGAGTCATAAATAGCTCTTCATTAACTGAAATCGCATCTATCTACTATCGATACATATTCATCCGCTAGGCTTCAACGGTTTGCTCGTTTGAAGTTCTTCTCTTCAACCATCTTTTCCAGTTAAACTAATATTATCCTATCTAAACTCACTTTTTCAGATCATCAAATACTTTCCAGAGTTTATCATTGTGCTATTTTCCACATACTTATCATTATTATCGTTTTCATTCAACTTATTTTGTATTTTTTTAAGTGAAAACTTCTTTAGGCTTGTTCTGCACTTTTTTGTGGAGAGTGAATTAGATTGATCCGTCAGATTTTCGAAGTGTTAACGCTCAAGTAAAGTTGGCTAGAGTCGACTAATAGAAATGTTATTACATATGAATTAAAATATTTCAGAAACTAAAAATCGGACCTCCATACTGTAAGCGAGGAAATTGTTCAGCATTTCATTCTTTCTTTAATAGACTATCATTCAAAATTGTATTTTAACGCAACACAGTGTTAGGGAGGCGAAGAGGGAAAACAAGTGTCGAAAACCAAATGATAACGAATTTAGTCGAACATATGGATTAAAATATTTCAGATACTAAAATCGGACCTGTTTACTGAAAGCAAGGCTAATGCTCAGCATTTCATCTTCTTTGTAATGAATGAGCTATAATTCAAAATTGTATCTTAACGCGTCGCTGCGTTAGAGAGGCGCATGTACTTAGGGAATGTACTTCGATATCTACGTAAACATCTTGGTAGATTGATAGGGAAATTGACATATAGGAATATTTAAACTCGGTTTAATAGTCTGGTGCCTTTCACTGCACATTACGGCTCCATTTTGTCTCATGTATGTGCTTGTAAACATCCAATTCTCGAGCTTTGTTCGGGGCTGGTAGACCCCGTGTTAGAGAGGTTAAAAGGGAAAAAATAGTTTCGAAAACCAAATGATCCCGAGTTTTATTGAAGATATGAACTAAAATATCTCAGAAACTATAAATCGGATCTGCATACTGTAAGCTAGAGAAATGGTCATCCTCTTTATAATGAGCTGTTATTTTAATTTATATTTCATATTATTAATCTCGCCTTGTTGATGTTTTCGCCTTAGTTTTTTATTTATTCTATCTACTTTTTAATGCAATTTTGTTGTTTTAGTTACGTAAAAATTTTATTTACATTTATGCTATTCCTCCACTAACTTTGTATTTATATTAATGAGACCGATCACACTGTAATGACCACTATGCACTGTTATGTTAATTTTATTCTGAAGGGACTTTGTCGTGAAAAGAATTTTTTCATTTCATTTCATCCATCGACTACTCCGTTTTTAAAAGTTAATATTCGAACTTTATCCCTCAACTCATAATAGGTTTTGGTATCCCTTCTCATATTTTTGAAATTCTTAAATGCTGTTATGCACAGTTATTTCATTAGACGTGAATGTGATTCTGGTACTATCAACTCTTCCTTTCTTTTATTGTTTTAGGCGGCTGGTTTTCTTCACCCAATATAGCCATAAAATACGTTCAAAGCGGCGTATGAATAACTCCTTATTCATTTTAAATTACTGCCACTTCCTCCAATGTAACTTTTAAACATGTGATTGAACAACCGCATTGTTAAATTTGTAGTGATTTCTGTGGGGAAAGACGATCAATCAACACGTAGGCCTTTTAACAGAAACAAATATATTACATTAAGTCTAGGTTATCTTTCTGCCCTCCGAAATACACATATCGTTTCAGCTCAATTTCACTTGTAATTATCTAACCTTACCTTAAGCTTTCCCAAACCACCAGTCTTTATACGGACTCAATAAAAATGTTTAGAAAAATCATCCAAGGAAAAAATAAGTTATTCCTAAATATACAACAGTCAATACATCTGTTAATTACATTAAACAAATATATAAAAATGACATTTTAGACGTTTTAAAATCAAATTTTACTAAGAAATGTCAAAATTGTCTTCGCATTTTAATAATTGTGAATAGGCTAAGTTTAATTTTACATGGAAAGGAAAAGGGCTAGGTATAAAGGTCCAAATACAGATTGGAATAACCAAGAAAAACTAATTTCTAAGAAAACTTATATAATTGTAACCAATGAGGAAGAAGTTGAGAATTCAGACCGCGAGGTACAGACGTTCAAAAAAGAAGATTGGCAACAAAGTTGCATCTTCGATCCTGCTTTCACCGTCGATAGTTCGTCTTCCATGTCCGGGGAGTCTTCTTCATCAAATGAATGGGTAAACTGTGATGATGACGTTGATGAAGTAGAAGAAGAAAAGCCACAACCACCCGGCATATCTGAAGAGCAAAATCTTAAGTTCGTATTGACAGATTTTCTTCCCACAAAAACAAACGACGAGCCACCAGGAAATGAAAGTACTACGAATGACCAGTTTCCCAATACGTTACCTTCTAATGAAAGTATAGAGAGCATAGATTTGAAGAGTGAATCGGAAAATCTGAACCTAACCAGTCAGCCCTTAATACCAACCGGGGGCAGTAATCGTTATGCCAGCAATCCATTTGTGAATAAAGTACAAGTTTACAAAGGAAGAATGGAACCATATTATGATACAACTTTGATGGCAGGTAATCCAAAAACATTACTTTCTAACATTAGCAAATTTTACATAGACGAATACAGAGGACTGGCTACTTTAGCAGGTTACATATCTGAATCAGAAACATCTGTTTACAGTGAGGATAGCACCAAAAGAGCCATTAAATCAATTTTGAAAAGAGGGGGTAAAAACCAAATGGGAGATAATCCAAAAAAGAAAGTAAGATTCGATCTTAACCTACGATCATTAGATGATACCAGCAGTGATGTGAGTCAATATCCTCTGGATAAGAATGCAAAACCTAATGATGAAAAAATGGAAATAGAAGCAAAACTTACAGAATTGAACAGTCATTACAAACATTCAGCCGATACTCCCAAAGAGCAAATAGTAGAAAGCAATTTAGAAATATATAGAGAACAATGCAATGCCCAAAACTATTTTACTAACAGAGAATGCTTACCAAAGCTTAAACATGACTTTAAAATGAACAAAAGTCCTGTTATTGTTACACAAGAATGCAAAAATATTCCTTATGATCTGCTGGCTATTGAAGACTTATTGGAAGAAAGTAACGATCCCCTAATGGCCAGTTCAGAATTTCTAAACAGAAAAGAAATAAAAAATGAATTTAGTGAAATACAAAGAAAGCGTAGTTCTGAGAAAATTGACACTATATTAAATGATTCAATTTCATTTACGTCAATAGGAGTTCAATCTGATCAATTAGAAACTGATTCAAGATACGGCACCCCTTCGAAACACAATAATATGTCTAGAGTATTGGAGACTGAAAGTCTCAACGGTTCAAAACTAGAATCTAGCGAATTGAAGAAAACCCAGACAGGAAGCAAACCCTTGATTTCTGAAGCTGATTATTCTTCATTTATTAAAGATTTAGTGAATAGTTCGGGAGATAAACTTTCTAAGTTTTTGATCAGTCTTTCGTCAGAAATTTCCTCTAAATCAGGAGAAGAAAAAATAGCAAATGCTTTAATGACTGTAGGATTGTTTCAAGAGAAGAACGAATCTCATGATACTTTAAAAAAAATGCAGAAAAAAAATTCGAACGATAATATTAAGATAAATGAAAGAACTGTGGACTCGAATTACCAAAAAAAATATATAGGATCAGTGAAAAACGTGAGGGAGAACGGATTGAATACTAATAAAAAAATTGAAAGAAAAATCGTCAACAGAAGATCTATGAGTGAAATAAACATACATGATCTAAAATCACGAAAACCTTATTACAACCATACGGAAAGAAATGTTCATAGTTCCAGGTTGGATCAGCTTTACATCAAAGAAACAGACGATGATTGTATATGGCATAGTTTACCCCAAAATAATCCCAATATTAATGGAGAGGTGATGGAAAGACTTTACGAGGTAATGGCTGATTTGAAAAAAAATGTAGACAAAATATGTAGAAAAGAAAGTACAATACGAATAGAAAATGCGCAAATATGGCTAAAAGAAAACAAACTAGTTGAAAAGAATATTTCTTCAGATGGACCGATGAAAGCTATTGTCTCTGAAAAAACAAAAGAAACTTACTCCCAAACAATCGAGACTATTGGAGTTCATGTAGGTGATCATATTCAAAGGCAAGCTTTAGGTAAAACTGAAATACTAATTGTATCCAATTCGAAAAATGAAGAAATAAATATCAAGGTGAACGATAAAAATATAAAGAATCGGTTTATAGTTCCATCAGTTGAGTCGATAGAAATAAATAAAATGAATAGCGACTTGAATGAAATCGAAGAAAGAAAACGATTTTTCGAAGACAACGAACACATTCCATTCAACGTTGTTTTCAACGAAAGAACGCATTTACCAACACTGAAAAAAGGTAAATATGAAGTAGAAATTTTTGAAAAAATGGACGGTCAAGTTATCCATGATACAAACTTCAAAACCTTTATGAAAAAACTTACAGGGAATTTGAACGCTATAAAATTAAATAGTCTTCACAGCTACGAAAAACCGCGAAACGTAGTGCGATCGTCCCGTTCGTCTAAATCAAATTCGTCACCTCATAGCAAAACGAACAAGCCGGTACCTAACTTCATAACCTCATTTCTTAACAGGCTGCTCAAATTGAGAACCAACACACCAGTAAAAAATTCAAATCGACAATTCGTAAGTTCACAGAATTGGGCTCAGGCAGATCGGGTAAACGTTTTAAAATCTTTTATTCCAGAAAGTAACAAAGAAAAGACCATTAACCCAATCAATGAAAGATTCATAGGATCTAATGATTTCAAATCTTTCAAAGTGGGTCATACTTCTTCTAGTCGTATGGAATGCGACAGGGAGTACATGAACATGTATGAGGGTGAATGGCCAGACGTAATAAAAACGAGGTACCCCAATGGCATGATACATTTCGGTCCGTTGACTATTATGCCTGAGCCTACTTCCGTGAATTATGAGAGGCAGAACGTCAAATCGGAAAATTGCTCCAGCTCTAAATCTGGGAGCTGTCGTCGGTATGTCTATAACAAACATATGAAGCGTATGGTAAAAGCGTCTATGACGAGGAACGAGCAGCAGCCTGAAGGTGAATTGTCCACAGAATTCAGCGAAACCGAGCAGGAATTTTACCATCAGTGGAGCCAAATGGGGAAAGTGTGAAATGTGCTTTACTCTGTTGGGTAAATGAGTGATTTAATAAATTTTAGACTATTTATTAGTTTTTAAATAAAGCTTTAATTAAAAATTAAAATAAATCATGAATTTAGTTCAATTAAAATCATACTTGGTATGTTTAAGGATTTGTTATCACAAATTAAAGCTAATCCTCCCCAAAAAAGGAGCGGTGTTGGCACCACACTATTTTCACTTACTTCCCCTCTTTAAAACTAGAAATAGGTATTTTGAGGCAAAGGGAAGTGAAAATGAAAATTGAAGCTTTAATTTAAAATTAAAAATGAATCATGAATTTTGTTCAATTAAAATCATGCTTTGTCTGTTTAAGTATTTGTTATCACAACTCGAGTCTAATTCAGAAAATCTAGTGCGGTACGCTCATCACACTACTTTCACTTACTTCCCTATTTTAAAAATAGAAATAGGGATTTTCAGGCAAAGGGACAAAATATTATTTAAAAAAATTGATTACCATAAAAAATCGTAATTATAAATTAAAAATCGTCTTTTCAAAAATCGTAATTACATAGCCGTCTACTGCATCATATTTATCTTGTTTTTTTGTCACTGTCTATTTCCTTTTACTTCTGTATATTTTAATATATCTGTATTTATTTGATAATAATAAATAATTGAGTGCCATGCAATATTTTTAATTTAACGAAGAGTACCACTGATAAAAAAATACCACTATATTTCATTGTAAGTATTTTTATGGTAATCATATATCAAATAATACATCTGCTAGCATTTATGAAAACTTCACATGCATATGTATAATAATATAATTGGAGCTCTTATTTTATTAAGCACTTGTAAATTATGGAAACCTTTAGGTCTATCGGCCGCACTCGCGTTTCTTCAGTTTTTTATTACGATCTATTATTTATTCCTATAATAATTTATAAAATTCTTCTATATTTTATAATTGATTACAATATAAAATGGTTAATTATTTTAAATAAATACTTTAAAGAATGAAATTTTGAAAGTTACGCATTTAAGCCCTGTTAGAGAATATCAATGAGAATAAAATCTATATTATATTATAAAAACCGCTTAATTTTACACGGATATAAGGAATTTAATAAAAATCGTTAGAGCTGTTTTAGAGAAAATTGTATAAATATGTAAAATCGATTATTAAAAGTGGCACTTCAAGTTATTCAAATTTGATGAAAAAGTTGCAGTAATATCTCAGGCGGTTATAAACGTTAAACACGCAATTTCAATTTCATACGACTTTCAATTTTTGAGCTAGACTGTTCACATATACACATATCATTTTACGAGACTATGTTAATTAGACTGCAGAGATCTCGAAACATATACTTCCGTTGAAATTCTCTCGTTGAAACTCGGGTTCAAAAATGCTCACGATCGCAATACTTCTCCTTACAATATAATTCCATAAACAAGTAAGTGAAAGTAATAATTAAGCTTCTCACGATAGAGGTTGAACAAGAGAAAAGGAAGGTAAACTATAAAATTTAATTTTTCTTTGCATATATAGTAGTTTAGGGTAAGAGGGAGTAAATGAAGATTCTGTTCTCTTTTCCCCCGTCCTATTTCTTGGTTTTCCTCTTTAAGCTATTAATCCATATCTTCTCTGTGTCCTGCTCTTGTTCAACCTTCCAACCACCCGAAAAGATTTCATCAGTACGGTTAATACCATTCAGACTGGTTCAATTTAATCGACCGTTATATGATATTCCTCAAGCTATGATGCCAATCTACGTTCTCACTTCTTTTCAAGCAATGTTTCTCCAATTACCACGGCTAAGGAATATCTCGTTTACCCTTCACCTATAGAATATGATATATATCGTATATATATATATATATAAGACAGGCTTTATTTATGGATATAATTCTTCTGTGCTATAGTCTCTCAGATTCAATGATGGATATTTTTTAACTACGTAATTCGATAAAGAAACATATTTTTAAAGAAATCCTGGACGTCATCTTATAAGTTATTTTTTAAAAACTATTTGGGCTTAGTTTGTTAGGTTTAGGATAACAAAATTTTTGCAATACCTGACAACCTCTCATTACTCCCGGAAACAGACTCAGACATAAGTCTAGGTACCGAAATGTCTCATGCCGTAAGGTAACATTCAATCACGAGACATCCTCATATATGTTCATGTACTCCGTGTTACATACGGTACAATTGGAGGGATTATGTTCATCTTAAAAGAATTGATATCATTAGATGGGAAAATCCAACCTCGCCTCCATGTGTAACGCAGACAGGGGCGGTGGGACAGATAGTCCTGTAACTTTGTAAGGTTTCTTTTTTATTTTATTCTATGGGAAGTTACTGAGATGCAAAATCCAAGTTTTCGACCAAGGCGCCCCTCCCCCAGGATCTCTTTTGAATATCCCAAAAACTGCGATATTTTCGGAGTTTCCCGATTCCAAAGTAAAACATTTTTAAACTAGATTAAATATGCTACAATTTAAGATCACTTGGAGTGCTACAACGGACTTGGAAAATTTTAATCCATTTTTCGTATATTATCATCATATGCAATTGCCTTTATATCATCAACAACCTGACTGACATGAGTCAGTGAAGTAAATATATAATATCTGAAGAAGTTCTGAAAATGTCCCAATCTTTGAATATCTGTATCTCAAAAACTATTAAATTTACCGGCCATGTTCTGTTGTAGCATATTTAATCTAGTTTAGAAATGCATAGAATGTTTTATGCCAAAAACGTAGTTCTGCATGGTCAAAACCGAAAATAACAAACTTTTGGGGATATTCAAAAGTGATCAGGGAGGGCACACCGAACTTGGACCAAGACATCGGTAAACCGGGCCCAACTGGTAGAGGATAAAGATTTGGGGAGGCAGACCATTTCTTGTAAATCAACCATCAAACAGCTTCCAGACCTAGAAACAATAATAAGCCAGATAGATAAAATCGGAAAAGTCTTAGACATCCCAAAGAGATGCAACTTGCTACATGAATTGAACATTATACATTATATTAATACGTATATTTCCTTGTATTGTATTTTATAATGTAATTAAGTAATTTTTATTAAGTTAAATAAATTAAACAGACTTTATATTTTTATTATTCCAAGTTATTCCAGAATAGACATTACTTTTTTAATTTTCTTATAAAAAGTTGGAAAACGGCTGATATTTAACTTAGTCAAGGAACTACCTAGGTTTCTTTTACTTTTGTGACATCCTATTGTGGCCTCTCAGCGTAGGGGAGCGTTTAGTTTAGTTTAGTTTAACTAGTTTAGCCACAGTTGTCTGCTTCTCGTTTCTGTTTCTCTCTCTCTCCATACGGTCTCCATAGTTTAGAAATGACATGCTTGGTCGGCCTCCTATCATCAGGGGTATAGGAGTAGTTTTCAGTGGATCTCTGTTCTTCCATCCTGAAGACATGGCCAGTTCCGATGGCGAGCCTCAAGAACCTCTCTTATTGAAAGGACTCTTAGTTCCTTCCATTTCAGATGCTGTCTCTTCTAGTTCTTCCTGAAATTGGTCAGTGAAACATTACAACTGCAGCCGTCACTCTGCTTTTAATATTTATCTGTAATTATCCAACTTTTAGCACTGTAAAGAAGTAAAGGCAGGTACATTGACTTAAAGATATGTAGTTTTACGTTTCTGTCCACATTTCCTTTCATATCATAATTTTCATCTACTTAACCCTAGCTATGTTAAAAGACTCTGACTCCTGTCTATTTAACTGTAATTCTCTTGGTATGTGAACCTAATGGCTTCTACCAAACTCCTTAGAAACTTCTCAAATGTGCCTGCCATATTTTGTTCCTTGCGACCAAGTTGAATGCTGTTCCAAGATTATCAATGTTTCTAATTAACTTAAAATTTCCTTGTCTGAAAATATTTTCAAATCAGTCCGAGATAGAGTTAATGAAACTTTCTTTTCTGTAAAGATGCTTAATTATATAACATTATGAGAGACAAAACAACAAGATTCTTTAACTTTAACAACTTCAATTTGTTTTATGTCCAATTGAGCCAAGTCTTCATGAAGTAGTTCTATTTAACTTTAAGTGAGATTTTCCATAAAATTACTGCTATATGTTCGTCCTTAATAATTGTATTCAGAAACTGACGTTTGGTTGGATTTTTCTGTATTGATTAACAGAAGCTGGAGTTAATGCTAGAACAGCAACTAGAGTATTGAGGTTCCTTGAGCGGTTTGGTTTCTGCACCACAGTTCCTTTGACCAAGAACAATGTTTTAAACAATTATGTTTTAAAAAAATAAGGCAAAGCTTATATAATTCCAAAGGACATATCTTAGGCTTGTTAGTTTCTGGTTTCCTTTTGAAATGAGCCTAATCAACGTATGATTATGAGCCCTAGTACAGACAATAACAAACGTTGAATATTTATCATTATACAACTGTTACAATAAATAATGTTATTATTTATATTCAACATAATAAATTATGGAGAGTTTATTTTTCTAATTGTTAAATTTAAGATGTTTCAATGTAGTGACCAATGAATTTTAGGAAGACCATTGGTAAATTATCCTCATATAGTAATAAATTTTATACATCAGAACCAATTATATATTTAATATTAGAGTCCAAATTTAAATAATTTCATACTGATAATGCAGTTAATATAATTAATGAACTTAGGATTTCAATTTATTAGTGATTATTCACATGTGAATAATCACTAATAAATTGAACAATTCCCTAAGCATATACAAATCAGAATGTTATAACACATAAATATTCTTAATTAGAACTTTATTTAGAAAACACTAGACAGTGATTATCACAAATTTACACAATAAGCAATTACATTTTTTTAGATAATTAGAAATGATTTCCCTAATTCCCAAAAAAAAGAAATAAAACAAAGATGTTCCATATTAATTTTCTTTATGATTTAAAAAACCAACCTGAACACCAGATAATAAACCCCCATGAATGAAAATACATTTTTCCTTATATTTGTAACAGTAATAGACAAATTATTCACAAATATTATATGAAACAAACAAAATGATGATTTTACAGTCCTGTCAGTTTTAACAAAAAAAGCACAAATACCTAATATATTATTCTGATAAAAAATATTTTTAACAAAGGTTCATCACTTTTTGAGTCTTGCACATTGGTGTACAACAATAAATTATATACTGAGTAAGATATAT